TCCCAAAAGTTGTTCTCATCCTGGGTGGACTGCAGTTTCGACCTCGCATTGGTGTTATCAACACCCTCAGATCAAATTGCCCTTTAAGATATACACAAATAATTATTGTTAACAACAGACTATGCTCAAATTCAAAGTAGGCAAAGAAACTACCGGCTTATATCAAGACCAAGTAACCAATGATTCGTCTTAAATTTAATGGCATAGGCTTATGTTTTGTTGAATAAACCTGATTAATATATGAAAAGCATTTTCATGTAAAGCCTGCATGTACGCTTAAGCGTAGAGCATACAGCGAAAACATTCATCGGACTCACTCAGCTGAGTCTGCTGCTCCAGTGGAATCACTCACAAATACCGCTTCGCCTCCCACCCGACCTCCATCATAAACAACGGCCTGGTCATCCGATCCCAGGTTGGTGAGATCCGCTGACTGACTTGCCCAGCCTAGACGAACGCGACCACCACGAGCCAATACATGTGCCTCATAGTAGAAGGCAAGAAAAACAAGAGACGAGTCGGTACCCTCTCCTTGGAGGGCAAAAGGCTGTTCTCCTTCGTTCGGAACTCGAGTTTGTCTACGCGTGATAGGTACCTGACGGTGCTGCCAAAGTGGTGCATCCTTGAGCTCATCTTCGCTCTTCCCTTCTACGAGGATATTAGCAGGCAGTAAAGTGATCAAAGGCAAATAATTGTTATGATAGGAATACGATATTTTTAGGAGGCTTATGAATTCAGCTATTGAAAAGAGCATTAATGAAATTAAATATAATTTAACTCATAAACATGGTGCTAGAGGTCCACAAAAATGAAATTTAGAAAAGTGTCAATTTAATTCAATCGAAGGATGGGTTATTACACCCATCGCTAGTAACAGGCTACCAGTCTCCAGATCAGACAGCGTCACATCTCCAACTTTGTGATATTCCTTCCATAATTTCACAAATTAAAGAAGTTCTGCCGCAGGTCCAAGAACAAGCCAGAGGTATAAAATTAAGTATATAATAAGAGTTGAATCATCAAATCAGTGAAGGCGATAGCTCTTATGATGCCGTGAACACCTTGAAAATTACAGATTCTGATAAGTTCTAG